TTGTATTGTATTCTATTCTATTCTAAAGTGCCTTGAGATTGCATGTTTAGTTCCTGCACTGGCAGATCTTTTAGTTTCCGGCTCCTCGACTTTGGAACCAACTACCAGTTTTAGTCCGCCAGGCAGACAGCTAGTCTACATTTATGATTAGACTCAACACTTTCCTTTTTGATAAAGCTTTTTAGTTAGAATGGCTGAGCTGAGCTATCTCTGTAGCTACAGTATGATGCAATAGACTTAGTCTGCTGAAGGACATAGGGACCACTTTTCTAAAGTGTACTTCATTATATCCCTATTCTCTAGTTCTACAGTGATCTGCAGTTCCACCTCTAATTTTATGTTATCTCTGCTTCTACTCATCATAGAAGCATACTCTGGTCTGGTCCTGTTTGGCTGTGACATCCTCCTGGACAACAAACCATCCCCAAAGTCGGTCCTCGAGGGGCGCTGTCCTGCAGCTTTCAGAGGTTTCCCTGCTCCAGCACAGCTGATTTACAATTGATAATTGATTACCAGGCTTATGCTGAACTAAAATCATCAGAATCAGCTGTACTAAAGCAGAGAAACCTCTAAAACCTGCAGGACAGTGGCCCTCAGGGACCGACTTTGGGGATGCCTGGCTTTGTTTATAGATGAGAGTTTGGCCTGTTTTTATTTATCTCATAGACATAGCTATGGGCTCAGCTTTTACTTTAACCAACTGTCTGTTTTATCTTTTAAACATGAAAACTGACCCAGAGCTCATGTGCTTAACTGTTTTTCCATCTATGGAGCTATTTTACTACCATCTTTTCAAACATAGAAAGTATTTATTGATCAGTGCTTCAGTGTTCCCTTTGTATGTCTACTTCTATTTCCTTGAACCCCCAGTTGGCCTCACACCGAGCCTGGTTCTGCTTCTTTGGAAGTAAATATCTACTGTCGCCACAAGCTCATCTAGGAGTGAATCCTGCAAAGTCAGGATGAAATCAACTGGGTTTCCTTTGATAGAAAAATGTTTGACCACTCAGACTGTATGATTTGATTTAATTATACCAGTAAAATGCCTTCAAGAATTTCATGCAAGGGATTAATAAAATAATTCTGCTTCTATTTATTTATTGATACAATTACTTGGTCTTTGGCACTCAAACCTTTGCAGGAAACATAGCGGTTGAGAGAACCTGTCCACGATGAGCAAGCATGAAGCGACAGTGGAGAGGAATAACTCCACCTTGGGAAGAAACCTCTGGCAGAACTTCTGCCATGTTGAATTGAGACGCGGAAAGCAGTAAGAGTCCGGAAGTAATGAAACTCTGATGAAGCTTTATCTACGATGGTGGAAGAGGGGCTGGAGGTGGGTTGAAACGGGGTCATCTGAATGAAGTCACACGGCGCAACCACTGCCTGCGCACTAGGTAGCAGACGAGTTGTGGATTGGAGGCCTTTTAAGATGAACTTAACTCTCACTCTGCCGATTGGCTTTTGTGGAGGTGTGGTTCAAAGCTGATTGGCTGTGTCGTAGATGGATGTAGACGAGTAATCAGTTTATTCAGTTGAACTTCCGCCTAGGCTCCACTTCAACCGTTGCGTATATCAGCTGCAACATATAAATCAAGGTGCTATGACCGAAAACATTTGATTGACAGATGACCGTTGATTTATTATTGGCTGAATTTAGCTGCACAAGCTGACATATAACTAACTGGCCTGCATGAAAAACAAACGAAAAAAACCCCACAGATTTTAAGCGAGGATTTTTTTTTAAATAGAAATTTTCTAACTTTTGGGACAATACCATCTGATAGAGTACATTTCTAATTAAATATGATTTCCATACTATCTTAAGTATTGAGTATGCTTAATATATTAGAAGATCCTAAAAAAGGTTATTTAAGAAAATGTAGTATAAAAAGTGAAAGTTGAACAAAATTGACTGGTTTTTCAATCTTCTCGTTGCTAAATGGGAGATCTGCTTTTGATCCGGCTAAGAAATGTGTCTGCCATCTTCAGAACGGTCCTCTGTGCATTGCAGCATCTCCTTAAATGACTAGCTGCCGATAAGTGGTACATTTAAACACGAAATATTGCTGCTTTTTTTTATTTGGTTAAGAGAGTAAACACGGCAGAGGAAGGCCTGAACCACCATGGTGTTCATTTATTAGCAGAGTCAGGCTGACGGTGATGCAGGCTGTGGACGACTCAGTGGGGAGCGGAGTAATTTAGGCTGAGTGGATTTCCAGGAGAGAGAGCAATTTATCAAGAAATGTAGGGAGGATAAACACACACATACACACAGCTTTATATGAAATCACACTGTGGTGTAAACTTTTAATTTCACCCAGCTCGATCCATCAGACACACAGACAAACACACAACCTTACACACATGCATGCATGCAATGAGCTCCACTCACACCATTTCCACTCTGCTGCTCCTGCATTCAAAATAGAAATCTTTGCTGGACACACAGATTTGCTCCAGGGAGGAGGTTTGCAAACCACCATGGCGTGATGCCTTCTTGCCCTAGTGCCATTTGACATCAGTGTGGCTGAACAGGATTCAAAGTGGGTCAGCAGAGGATGCAGCACAGACGGCTCATGGTGATGCCTCATCCTATTTGCGTTAGCTCCACAGTCTGACGTTTTGTTTTTCTTTGCATTGACCCCTCATAAACAGCCAGTTCCTATTATTCTTCCTAAAAAATGTAGTTTGGTTTCAAGTCGTGATCCTGAAACTAAAAAAATTGCATTTTGACTTTAATAAGAGCTTTCCGCATCCCTTTGCGTTCAAACAATAAGGATAGTTTATTTTGACTTTCCAAAGTGCAGCAAAAAGTAGCAGCTTCATTAATCTACTAGAATGTTTTAGAGATATTGAATCTAGGCTTAGTTCTAAATCTCAGTCTACTGTATCTTAATGTTGTTTAAAGTATCGAGAGCCTCACCAGGACTCCTCCAAACATATTGTCTATCGGTCGCTATTTTCGCTCTTTTCACTATCAAAGCTTCCTCCATAAGTTATTTTTCTAGGAACAGGGGCTTTTGCTGACTATAATCTCTATAATCTGACTATAATCTATTGCTCAAGCTGGTTTCCATCTCCAGTTTGGCTTAAACAATCAGGCTTGGAGGTTAAAACTATTGTTGAAAACCTATTTCTTTTCGTCCACAGGTGACGGTTGGGGCGGTTTGGTGGATTCGAGCATCGTGTCGCTTTACTAAAATAATTCCTCCCCCACTTTGCTTAGAACATAAAAGCTAAGGGTTAAACTTAAGTCAATGTAGCTTCTTAACTGATATAGATGCTCTTAAAAAATTGTTTTTAGGTGCTGCAACATAAGGCTAAATGACATGCTATTATTCAATATATGTTTTTTTTTGTTTTTTTGTAAATAAATTTACTTTGTCCTATTTTTTTCATTATAGTGTTACTTTAACATGTAAACTGTTTTTTTTCCCTCCACAATGGGTGTGGTCATTTTGCACTGGGCCAAATGTCTGTATGTTGAGGCTTATTAGTTTAAAGTAACGTAGGCTAAGATTAGTGAAGTGCTTGGCACACCTTGGCGATTTAGCCAGCGTATACCTGATGCACTAAGAATCTGGCATGCTCAAAATTGCTTGACGTATGGCAGCGTCTGCTCATACGTGGGCCATACGTTACAGGTGAGTAATGGGGTTGTTGATATACGTTAAGTGTAAGTTACTCATAGGTCCTGTTGTCTAGCTTATCCAAAACTTATGAATAACTTGTGCATATCTTATGAGTAACTTATCAAGAATGTATCCCCAACAGATATCTACGTATTCGACGTGTTCAAGACGACTGCTGAACTTGTTTCTCACTTAAAGCTACTGTATGATGGTGTATAGGCAGCATTTTAGTATAAAAGGGGGTTCATAGGAAGAAACCGTCACTTCTCCTCCAGACTTCAGACGTTCCAGAAGAGATGGAGGATCCGGCAAGCCTGAGACAGGAATCCATATTAGCTATCCTTCGACATCAGCAAGATCTCATCAGTTTGACTCTGTTCCAACTGTAAGGTGAGCGTGAAGGTGAGTGTGATGTATCCTCACTGCGTTAACGCCCACTGCCACGACCAACAAACTTCCTAGCAGAAATGACGATGAATCTGCTGCGACTGCAAATCTTTCTTTTTATTTCTTTTTTCTTTTTATTTATTTCTTCTTTTTTGTTGGACGGATAACAGCAGCTAAGTTAATACCGCAATCAAATACATCAATTTATGCAGACCAGGTACCTCTGGGCGCATTGCTGCCCCCTTCAGGCTGCTGTAAGTTCAGCCGTACGTTATGCATAAATAAGGTTGTCGATATACATAAGTTCTGGATTATGAATACTCTGTATATGCCCAAATTGAAAAAATACATAGAAAGTTCTGCGTATGCCAGTATTTTAGGTGATTCTGGGATGTCAGGCATACGCCGGCTAAATCGTCATGGTGTGACAAGGGCTTAAAAGCTTCAAACTCTGCCCTGTTGGAAATATATTGACTGTTCTTAAAAGCCACATGAGTTCCAGGAGATAAATTCACTGATAGGAGTTTAGGTTGAAACTTTCTAAGAGACGTCTAAGCTCTTATATTTTGGGGTGTATGTAAATATTTGAGCATGTTTCTAGAAATTAGACAAATTAGAAGTGCATTAAAGAATATCCTAATTCATTTAAAATTGTTCCCATATAACTTTCTTCAATAAGTTATAGGTTCAATAACTTTTCCACTCTGTAAAATACTATTCAGTTCCATCTTTAAAAAGCATAAACTGAAAACACGTTGATTTTCATGATTAGTGGAGGGAACCTCTGACTACATTTGCATCTGACCTAGCAAGTGTTTTCAGCTTCACAGCACTGCATCTCATTTCAGCAGGAAATGAGCAAAGTTTCCTGCTCTTTGACAGCACAGTTTGCCCACATGTGTAAAGCCAGAGCTGCAATCCCAGGGACAGCAGGAGGAAACCAGTCCTGCAGCCCCCTGGTCAAGATTTCATCTGTACCTTTGGTGGGGCGTCTGAGCCTGGGTATTCTCTCTGATCCAGTTTGTTCCAGCGCTGCATCAGTTTGATGACCATGGGGTTGCTGAAGTCTACCAGCTGGAACCCTGTCACGTTGGCTCCTCCATGCATGAAGCGCTCCAGGTTGATGTCCTTAAAACCCTGAAAGAGAAATAAAGAGAAAGTATTTAAACTCCCAGGAATAACCAAGCATTGCACAGGAAGGACAATACAGCAGAAATATAACATTTTATGATTATTTAACGCTGTTACATTAAAAGACATTAAATGCCAAAAAAGATTAACTATGTTAGATTTACTATACATTAGCACACACAGTAGACTAACACCTATCAGGCAAAAGAAATAGACGTAAAACCCTTAAACTCAGATCTAGCAAAGAATAGCTTCTCTCACCAGATTGGCCATGATGTAGTGGTATCCCTTCACATGTTTCCCAACACTGACGATCTACAGGAAGCCAAAGCAGAGATAATATCAGGGGATTATTGCATGTATATCTTTACAACATTAAGCAGACAGGGGGAAATAAGTGCAGATATGCAGGCAGGTGGACACAGGACCCAACAAGGTGATAACGATTTTCAGGAGCTGAGGTTAGCAGTGAATAAATATAGGGATTATATAATATAAATAAAGTGAGATAAGCTTAAATTATGAATTTAAAAGAATCAAAGATTTATTATTTTTCTCAAAAATTAGACACTTTAACTTATCTTCATAGATATATATGACATCTAGCTTGCAGCAAGAGAGTTCTGGGTTCGATTCCCGGCCCGGGGTCTTTCTGCATGGAGTTTTCATGTTCTCCCTGAGCATGTGTGGGTTCTCTCCGGGTACTTCCTCCCACAGTCCAAAAACATGACTGTTAGGTTAATTTACTTGTATAAATTCTCCTTAGGTTTGTCTGTTTGTCTCTATGTTCCCCTGTGATGGACTGGCGACCTGTCCACGGTGTACCCTGCCTCTCCCCCATTGACTGCTGGAGATAGGCACCAGCACCCCTCGGGATTCCACTTGGGACAAGCGGGTCAGATAATGGATGGATGGATGTAAATTACAGTAAAATAGTTTCAGGAATTTTATTTAAAAATTTTTTGTGGCCCCAAAATAATTTCCACTGTACAATGTTGTTTATACGGGAGAAAAAGACTTGAACCTCAAAGTTAAACACAGTGAAAGAAAATCATGACCAGGAGTCAGAATCAAAGCTTTCGTGTTCTGGTATACTGAAAGAAACTAAGTTTCCCACCATGTGTTAGAAAGATTATAAATTAGTTTAAGGTTCTCTAAACCCATAAAAAAGTCTCTTAAGAGGTCAGGTGGTCAGATGTACAGAAAGTAAATACAAGATCAGTTTGAGTGATAAAGAATCTTAAAGGATGTTTCATCTGTCAATAACAACCCTGATCTTCATCCTGCAGCTGCTCAGTCACATCTGACAGAAACAGTCTGTGTCCGCGTGGCTGCTGCTTGTTTTAGTCACTCCGACAACAGTAATGATGCGTTTCCTGTTCTGTCACAGGCTGCGTCACTGATGGTTTTCTGAACCTCTGACTCCAAACTAATGAGTAGCCGGAAGCTTGGCCCACATCCCTCTGTGACTCACTGACTGCGTTTCCTCACCAGTTTCCTCATTAGCCAGATTAGGAATGCTCCTGCCTGGCGGATCAGATCAAGACTGAAGGATGAGCCTTTTAGGACCTCATTTACACGCACGCTGCATATTCTACTTGTTAGATGGACATTCGTCATTTTCAGGTGAAGCCAATGAAAAGTAAAGTGTAAAGGAGTTTGATTGTAAAGCAGGCTGCAAGATATTTGGAGAACTTGTGAAACTGAAAAGGAGAGCCTGATGTTCAATAAATAAACAAATCTTTAAAATGTTTTACTTCCTTTCTGCTTTGGTCTAAAAGCAATCATAACAGACCATTTATTCATCCTCTAAGATGAAATTCACTTAATTTTTTTCATCTGTACAAAATATTTTATTGAAAAGTGGAATTTAGGCGACTTTGGCTCAGTTGTATTTTTTTATTCATGACCTGACTCTCAGCTACCTCTTTGTATTGAAAACATTTTTTATGCTACATCAGGCAACAGCATAGAGAAGCTGAATGCTTAACCTAAAATATCTAAAATTCACTGCAGTCCAGGCAGTTCTTTGCAATATTATCTAGAATGAAAATGAGATGAACCGAAGCAAAAATCTAATTTAATTTTTAAGGGGTACAGTAAAAAGGAACATTCTCCATCTCTTTCCTGTTCTTTGAGACTTTTCTTGCAGAACGGAGTCATCAGCTTGTTAAATAATGTGATTTAAAGTAATAATAGCACTGTTCTTTAGTGCTCCACGTTTAGGTGCATAAAGGTTAGTGTTAGCATTAGGGTTAATCTATGCTCCATCTATGTTCAATAGATGGAAGCTGGCAATGATGCAACTTTATGATCACATCTAACAGAATTTATTTGCATAAAAACTCTAATTCCCACTAGCCTGACGTAGTCCGACTCAATTCTAGTCAGAATATGAGTCTGATACTGCTCCATAGAGCTGTGATTATGGGGCGTGTTTTGAACGAACCAGGAAAAAAAATGCCTCTGCACTCAATTGGATAGACCTACAACCAATAAGAGCAGCGGAGTGCGTGACGTATGTTAAGCGACGCATAGTTGTTGTCAACGAAAATCAAAGCGTGCAGTTGCACGCCTAGAATAAGAAGATGAGCCTTGATCGCGTTTCTCTGTTCCTCTTTTAAAATGAATTTGCTGTCGATATCTTCTAGAACAGACCTAATAGCAGAATCTACTCACCTAAACTCTCCAGCGGCAGCCATTGTTGTTGTCACCCAAGCGCGCTTTGGTCACGTGGTTGATTACGTTACTGTTGATCATCTGTCCATCATCGTATGACAATTTGATTGGTCCGCCAGATATTGTGCGAGCATACTCCCGCTACTATCGAGCAATGCCAGAACGAACTTCCCGACCTCAAACGTTGTGGGCGGGACTAAGTTCGGAATGGCACCCAGGCTAAATTTCCACTACAGTCAAACCAAGAATCTTTGAAAGAAATTGAAGGTCAAAGTTTAGCTCCAAATGTATAAATGATCCCAAAGAGAAAGCAAAAGAAACATTCCCAGGCATCCCAAAAGAAACTCCTCTTGAAAGCCACCCATGTAATGAATCATGCACATCAACAAAAGGAATAATATCTTCTATATATAGTATAATCAATGGAAAGTTACCTTCTTACGATAAAACAGTGACAAAAAAAGGAAATGGGAAAAAGACTTGGGGTGTATTTACGAGGAGGCAGCGTGGCATCATTTATTGGAACAGGCACAGACTGTGCTAACCTCCACAAAACATAGACAAATTCAGTTTAATATATTTGATAGGACATATTACACTCCATACAGGCTACATAGAATTGACAATAACATTTCCTCTAGGTGTCAGAGATGTTAAGTGACTGATGGGGATGTTATACGCATGCTATGGAGTTGCCCAATGATAAAAGAACTTTGGAAATGTGTCACTGTGATAACTTTAAGGGTAATAGGAATGCAAATTGAACAAGACCAAAAACTATGGATTCCTGGGGACTATTTATGTAAATCATTACAATAAATACTTTATATTACATGCAAGCACTGCAGTAAATAAATGTATCCTGGTTAACTAGAAATCCGAAAATTCCCCGTCAGTAAGACACCGGCTCAATGAGTTTGTATCTTACTGCACACCCGAAAAGATACTGTATAATGTTAGAGGAAAACATGCAATCTTTGAAAAAATCATAGACTTTCTGCCCTCTCTGGACCCAGCTGTCGATGGGGGAGTGAGCCTTTCTGGACCGGCTTCCAATTAGCCCTTTGCAGGTTCTTCTTATATAACTTCCTCACTTATGTACCTTGATAGAAGCAGTGTGTTGAATTATACAGAGATGAATGTGTTGTGTACAGAAATGAAAGGATATTGAGAACCATACGAGAAAGGAGGGTGGGACCTTAAAAGTTTGTTATATTTTGTTTCTTTGTTTTCTTTTGGTGTTAAAAATCAAAAATCATCTTCCTTGTATGGTGTGTCTGTAAGACTATATACCAATGAGTTTGCTATACTAAATACTATTTTCAGTATAACTGTAAATTACGGTGGCTGAGAAGTGCAAAACACATTTACAATTCAAAAACACATTAACAAATAAAAAACAAAATAACATTTGAAGAAACAAAATTATATTTTATGAAACAATTTATTTTTGAAATAAAAGTTACAATTTTTAAAAACACATTTACATTTTAGCAAACAAATTTACATTAACAAATAAACAAAATAACATTTGAAGAAACAAAATTATATTATATGAAACAAATGTATTTTTGAAAAAAAAAGTTTAAATTTTTTAAAACACATTTACAATTCAAAAACACATTAACAAATAAAAAACAAAATAATATTTTAAGAAACAAAATTATATTTTATGAAACAATTTATTTTTGAAAAAAAAAGTTTACATTTTTAAAAACACGTTTACATTTAAGGAAACAAATTCACATTTTAAATAAGTTCGATTTTAGGTGAGAGAAAGTTTCATTTTAGAGAAAAAAAATACATTATAGGGAAACAAATTTACATCTAAAAAAAAATTGACCGTTCGGAAACACTTGTACAAGTGCAAAGACAAAACTGCAAGTGGCAAAACACATTTACATAGCCAAAAACAAATTAACAAAAGACGGCTACACGGAAAGGGAATGTCCCAGTGGCCGGATGTGACGTCACGATTACCCTGACTTGTAGTACAAACAGATCAATCTGTAGTCCTCCTGCTTCACGTGAAAAGTCAGCGGCGATTTTAGATGGAAAGAATTGCACTGAAGCTGTTTTTCTTAAGTTTACGCTAACCGAACAATGTTTTTAGCCAATTTACACCATTTTGTTCTTCGTGCGGACGGTCTCTGGAACTTTTACGGGACACGGACCAGGTGGCAGGACCAAGCAGCAGAGCCGGGCGTATTACTGGCCGGAGCCACTATTATTTTGTCATGTAGTTTTTTAATTACTTTTCTTTGGTATTTAATTATTTTTTGGGTATTTTTCCTGCCGTTTTTCGGCAAATGCTTTATTTATAGTACTTCTAACTAGATTGTTTTATATAGATATATATATATATATATATATATAGGCTATATATTGTGATGTTATCGCTTAATAACCTGTATTAAAATGTATTCTTTATGGGTTTCTTTTTATTGTGATGTTAGTGCTTAATAAACTGCATTAAAACTTTTATAATGTAACATTTAGTTGATGGAACGGAGTACTTTATCTGCGAATACGTGGCCTTGGCCGGCAGCAGCCACCATCGGCCTCTCCGATGGCAAGCTCTGCCGGCAGCGGCCACCATCGGCCTCTCCGATGGCAGGCTCTGCCGGCAGCGGCCA